TGTAAATAGGATATAAGCTCACCAAGGTAAATATCTACGTACCTCCCAAAATGTATTTAGGTAATCCTAGAGTATGGTCAATAATACGGACAAAACTAGGAGGGGATTCGCATGCGGTTTTTTTTGTTTGAAACTGTATAATTTACAAATGCCCGAAAGCGTGGGAGCCTGGAAGGGAATCGTGCATAGCTTCTTGCGTGAAACAACTTCGAGCGTTTGAAAGAAATACTCAAACTACTGAAACTTCAAATATCAGGAAAACAGACATCCTGTTTTATATTGCTATCCCAGACGAGTAGGTTTTGAAAATAATACACTAAATAACCAATTACAAAGAGAGAAATTCATGGGTAAAATTCTACTTCCTGTATCTCGATCTGTGTTTTGTGTACAAACATGCCGCCACTTAAATGGTGGAATTCGTCAATAAAGTGTAAATAATGTTAGCTGTCTTTATATGTCTTTGTACAGGGTGTCAACGTTTTGAGTTACAAGAAAAAACGGTAGGGAAGAGACGCTAGCTCATCGATAATGGCCCAATACTTCGAAAACAGTTTTAAATTTCATTTCCTCGCCAAACTCACCAAATGTTGCCTCGCAATACCCACGTGAGTATGACGTAATCTTTTATTTTAAATATTGATTATAATAATTTACTTCTTATGTAACGCAAAATATGACATGTAAATATGATCCACTCTCTGGCATGAAAAAAAATTAAAGTGTCTACGAATTATCTTGAATCTTAAATTAACAGATATTTTATTTATTTTTTTGGTGAATAAAGTTTCTTTTTCATTACTAACACTAAAATTAGAATCTGTTAACATTTGTACCTAGTAACAGACATTGTTTTTCTAAAACATTGGCATCAAATATCATCTATCATCTACTCAGTTCACTGTTTTAGCCACTTTTGTGCTCTTGGGTTGCCCAGGGTTAAATTTCGAATAGTCGACATTGATAAAAAAGTTCCGAACGTCAACTGCCCACTGGCGACATTGCCTTCAATTGTTCCTATTGTTACGTAATTAAGGAGAGACCCATTTTTAATGCATGCCGAGCTTATTCCTTTTAGCACATTTACCCACTTTTATTGATGGTGCATAAAACGACCAAGTTTATTGCTTTTTGCTTATAATTAAAGGCCAAAGGTCTTTGGAAAAAATTATAAAGTATCTTGAATTGGTGGAGTTTTTTTATGAAGGGTTTCAAGTTTAATACGCAATATAACTGATAGTCTCAAAGCCCACCGGCAAAATATGACATGCAAATAATGATCTAGTGCTCTTTGCAATGAAACCAAACTAAACTGAGTGTGAAAACGAACTCTTCAATGCAAGAATCAATAATGTCATTAATGATATTTAACTGAAGAATCACTTTCCAAAAATATAAAAATGATTAAAATATTTGAATATATTGTAACGACTGGGGTTGTTATTAAAGAAAAATGTTTGTCTTAAATGATGCTCTCAAAGAAGAGTTTTAAAAGAATTTAAATTATTTACTGCTCAGAGGGCATTCTAAATTTTGGCACCCGCTTTAAATAACCTGTTTCCAAATGTGTCTTAATAGGGGTTCTGAGAAGCGATAATTACAATTCAGACTTGACATTAGTATATCTGGTTCAAAAACTCATTAATAATTTACATATAAAGAAAAAGCAAAATAAATTAATTTTTCAAAGAATGTCTTTTTATCTGATAAAGACAAGGCTAAACTTAACATTCAATTTTTTAGACCAAATAAACCCCAAATCTAAATATTAGTGCAAGAATGAGTTGATCTATACTGATCAGAGATTTTGAAGCCGTTCAAAAAACTTCCAGTCGTGTATTATCATGTTTAAAAAAACTCTCGGCCTCGCCCCGATTTTTGAAGCCTGATAATATATATATACTCCTGCTCGTTGCTTAACGTTAAATAAATCCGTAATTTCTTGAGCTGCTAGCACGTTAGCGTTACTGGAAGAAAGACAGGAAACCATTGAAAAGAAACCAGACCGGGTTTTTGCAAAGAACATGGAAGCGAGCCAAAAAGTCGGACAGCACTAGTACTGTTCTGTATACGTTGTAATGAGCTTGTTAAGATGTATAGTTTTTAAACCATGCCACGATATTCAATGCATTCGGTAATGAATGCATGAACAAGTGTTTGTACTGAGTTACAAAGTCGTGCATGTCTTCTCCATATGACAACGCCAAGTCCATGTTTTCATCAACAAATCAAGAGATCTGATCGGCAAAAAAAAGCAAAACAAAACAAGCAAACAACCAAAGTGTGAACATAAATCTGCAAGGCTGATCGTACTATGCAAACAAGAAAATTAAAATATATTTTAAAAAGATCATAGAAACCAGTAGAGCTTCAACAGAGCGGTGTTGTAGACAGCTTCTTTTGCAATTTCTTGCCGGCTTCAAAAAACGGAGCAATAACAGAGACGTTCTGCTAAAATTTTCCCACAGAAGAGAAGAAGACGTACAAGACGATGAAGAAGAAAAAGAGGAAGAGACTTTAACACATTAAAAGTACAGTCGAACCCCGCTATTTCGAACTCGGTTAATTCGAAGTCCCCGCTATTTCGAAGGAAGATCGAATTCCCTTGGATTTACCCTTATGTTTTCAGTCATTTACTATCAGCTATTTCGAACTCGGTTATTTCGAATTCTCCGCTATTTCGAACTCATTGTTCTTTCCCTACAACTTAAATAAATCCCGTTATTTCGAACTTGTCAAAAACAGAGTACGTACATAAGAGCACAGCTGGAAACGTATTGCATTTTATTTGAGCTCGTGTTGCGTAATTAATGACTTAACAATGCTTGACTCACGTGCAGTGTTTCGCTAAGAAATTCCAGCTGTGTTATTCAATTACAAACCAAAACGCACCGTTAGTGAACTGTTCTTCCGGCTGAAATATTCGAGTGTGAACTCTGAATTACTGTATTTTTATTTAATCAGTGTCTTTCTTCATACTGTACTGTATTTTATTAAAAAATGATTCATTGTTACGAATTTTACGCCTCCCCGGTTATTTCGAAACTCCGCTATTTCGAACTTTTTTTCCATTTCCCTTGGGACTTTGAAATAGCGGGGTTCAACTGTAATGAGAGATGCTGTGGATAACAATTTATGTTTTCCGTTACAGACTGAGGCCTAAGCCAAACGTTGAACTTTTCATGAGACAAACCAAACTCTAAATTAGTTGGGTCGACCTAAATTAAGTTAAGATCGTCTGTTGGGTCAGACGTAAGCTGTTCCAGGCTCTCAGTTAGTGGGGAAGACGCGAAAGTGAAAGGCACGCGAAATGTTGGCCGGGCGTGTTTGCGCTTTGTCAATTCAGCAGGCCCGACTATCTCGGAGCCTGGAACAGGGTAGGTCAGACGTCAAACTTAGGCCGCGTCGAACCAATCAACTGAATCAGAGCAAAAAGCAATTTTAGCCGGGCGAGGCTAAATACACGCACATTATTATATAAATTTTGAAGTTATTAGTTTTTTTCGTCGCATGTGAAGATCGACTTTTGTCCCGCGGACGATCGTCAGACCCAAACTAGAGTTTGGTCCTCTCTATTCCTGCTTTAACATAGCTCGTCCGAAGCGATGTTACAATTGCCTGTTTATACGAACCGGTAAACAATAATTTTGGAATTGACTTGCTTGGCATTTTGGTAGAAACGGAATGACAGTATTTGTCGATCACAATTTACAATAATTGCAATCATTCCTCCCCTACTGTCAGAAAGATCGGTTGTCTGAATTTCATAATGCTATTCACATTGTCCACTCTCTGGCATGAAAAAAATTAAAGTGTCTACGAATTATCATGAATCTTAAATTAACAGATATTTTATTTATTTTTTTGGTGAATAAAGTTTCTTTTTCCTTACTAGCACTAAAATTAGAATCTGATAACATTTGTACCTAGTAACAGACATTGTTTTTCTAAAACATTGGCAACAAATATCATCTGTCATCTACTCAGTTCACTGTTTTTGCCGCTTATGTGCTCTTGGGTTGCCCAGGGCTAAATTTCGAATAGTCGACATTGATTAAAAAGTTCCGAACGTCAACTGTCCACTGGCGATATTGCCTTCAATTGTTCCTATTGTTACGTAATTAAGGAGAGACCATTTTTAATACATGCCGAGTTGCTTTTTGCAGATTTACCCACTTTTATTGATCGTGCATAAAACGACCAAGTTTCTTGCTTTTTGCTTATTATTGAAAGCCCAAGGTCTTTGGAAAAAATAGAGTATCTTGAATTGGTGGAGTTTTTGTTTTTGTTGTTTTTATGTAAGAAGGGTTTCAAGTTTAATACGCAATATAACTGATACAGTCTGATAGCCCACCTGCTCCTTCACTGGAACCACGTATTATGATAGTCTCGATTCATCCTAATTAAGATATTAAGCCAAGGTCGAAAATACATATACTGTTCGTCTGGATTTCAGCTCTTGTTAAGTGCTTTTGTCAATTAGAATCATAGGAGTATTTATTTCTCGCAGCTTGTCCTTTGACAGATCAGTTCTTTTTCAGTTAGTGGAGTGAACACTAGGAGGTCAGTAACAAGCGACTGGCACGGTTGGATACGACAGAAAGAACGGTTAGAGCAGCTGTGAATTTTATTTGATAACAGTCTTTGAGGTATGCATTATCTTTCATTGAAGATATAACTTACACATCTAACACCTTTACATCTATCAGATTTCGAGCAATGACTATTAACAAACGCCATTCCACTTTTTGAGTCTGCGACCCCAGAAATGCTTTGATAAAATTGACACCTTTCTCGAGGCCCTTGCATGGTACAATTTGTTTTCTAGGACTTAGAAAAGTAAGGTTAAAGTGTTGTTGTTTTTTTTTTCATTTCATGAATTTGCGCTTTAACCACTATTAGGACAGTCAAACAAGGTCAATTTCTCTCATTTTTTGATATCATATCAGTCGTTTTATTTTTGTTTTTATGCTTTGTAATCGAATTTTAGAAACCTTGAAATGGTATCAGTAATAAAGTTGTTGGTGTTGTTCACTACCATTGGTGCTGTCTATAGCGATAGCGGTAAGTTGTGAATTATGTGATGTAGAAGACATAACAACTAGGACCGTATTTTTGTCCCCAACATTTGCAGTCATTGTTTGAAACTATACTCCCAGTATAGCTTATTAGCTATAAAAGGTCTTAAAGGAGGAAGATCTTCGCAAAGTAAGTAAGTTAGCTACATGCAGTGGAACTTTGGATTCGCTCTAACGAAGGGCCTATGCTCGAAAAATCCAGCCTCTCAAATCCCCCCCCCCCCCCCCCCCAGTCTACCTTCAGTTGTAAAATCAGGATAAACCCAGATTTGTGCGTTTTACACCACCACCAACGCATCACCACAGTTTCCTTGTTAACTTGCCCCTTTATTTATAGTTATCTTTATTATGTTTGTTTTGTTGTAAACAACAAATATACTGCTGTAACCAAAGGTTTAAAACTGTGTTCTTTAATATCTGTTCATACACATATGCGCGTTCGAAATCTATAGCAAAAATACAGCAATTATGATGAGTAAGAATTCTACTAAATTACAATTCCATAGAAAGGAAATATTTACCCGATGATTGTCTCCAACGTTCGTTGTATCTCATGCACGATCAATTAGTGATTGTTCAATTATAGCTTATTAACGATTGTTGCGTTTTCACGCGTAATTAATTAATCTAGAGTGAAACAATGTTTAATTCTATCTTTTTCAGAGGGAAAATGGGGCTATGTAAACCTCACAAGTGATGACGGTTAGTATAACTGGAGCTACATAAACCTTTAGTTAGTTACTGTCCTTCTGTATCAGAGCGAACTTTGATCTGGTACGCAAAATGCAATTTGTTAAAGAACCTCGAGATCTGGGAAATGAATGACAGTTTCTTGAGAATAGTAAATCCTGAAGAGGCGTTCAAAGAAGATACAGCCATAGAAGACAGTGTAAGCTTTTGAGCCAGAAGAGAATAAGGCATGTTATAAGACAGTTATTTCTCGTCCACCTTATGACTTTGAATGGCTTCTCCTTCATTCTAATCTAACTTACCCGCTGAAGAGATTTCAGTGTAATGAACATATAGTGTAGAAATTAGTTTGGTAATTCATACTAAACGTATGATTAGTGGAAAAGTTTCGTGTGACTTTCAAACAAATCATGAGAAAAGTCAGATTGACTCGCTCACGAGCGTTTTTAACCCAGTGATAAATTCGTGAATTTGTTTTGGCGTCTCATTAGTTGATTGAATTAATTATTTTACGTTATGTTTGAAGGGGTTGGTTCTGAAACAAACTGTACGGAGCTGCGTCGGTTTGGGGGTCAAACAGGAACAAGTACTAAGTTTTATCAACTACAATTAGTTATGTCAACGTTGATAAAGTCACTTTTATAATAATCACCTTTATAGGGTGTTCCGTCGGATTGGGGGTGAAACGAGAACAATAGCTTTATCAACAAAGTTTATAAAATTACTTTTTACCACCTTAAAGGTGCGTGAATAAAACCAAATTTATCGAATTTCAGTACTCTCATTAACATCTGGTTTTTAAAGAGCAGCTGCAATTTACCTGGCTTTTATCGTCGTCTTGTTGATAGAAGTGACTGCCATGGCATGTTTTGGTTCAGAGCGAATAACACAAGTTTCGCTCTACCGAAGGTAGGTCTTTGTACATTACGCTTTTAATTTGTTTCCCCACTAAAATGCTCCATTTTTTAATTTCCTTGTTCGTTATAGTGAAAGGTCCTGAAGACTGGCACGATCTAGAGCTGAAAAAAGACAATCAGTGTGGTGGAAATAGACAATCCCCAATAAACATCAAAACAAGCGAGGTTGAGGAAGAAGATAGCTACCGTCGTTTAAAAATCACTTTTGACAACGCAAGGGGACTTGTTACTGGAACGCTTGAAAACACTGGGCATTCACCTAAACTTGAAATTGCTGATTCCAATGGAGCTTCTCTAACTGGAGGTCCCCTGGGGAATAACAAATTCGAATTGATCGAGTTTCATGTTCACTTTGGCTGTGTTAATGAACGCGGGTCTGAACACAAGCTCAATGGAAAACAACTGTCTGGTGAGGTAAGTGATGACAACGACGTAAACCTTTTTTCTTTTACGTTTGACTCAATTCGGTATTTCTCATATCCTGGCCCGTAATATCTTTGTTACGGGAAACGATTGCAATGGAGGAAACGATTACTCAGGACGGGAATGTATATAAATCTTCAATATTCAGTGCTGAGCCATATTACTCGCAATTGCGGGCGCAGTGCTTTCTTGAGTGATCTTTCAGTGGGCAACAAAGTGGGAGTATGCAAAAGTTGAAAAAGACTTACCAGAAGTTATTGTTGTACAGAAAACATCTTACTATTTAGACACTGAACGATCAAGTGCCTCTACTAGGTTCCCACTTGAACCAACTCATCGGGAATGACCTTAAACTTCTCTTGTTTTCCCCAGCTTCACATGGTATTTGGTCATGGTGAAGAACCACGAGCTGTTGTAGCCGTTTGGATTAAGGTACAACCTGCAGTCTACCTTCCTTCCTGCAATTCGTCCTCTATATAAACATTACAACTTAAATATGCAGAGCAACCTTCCCCTCCCCTTCCCCTCCTTCGTAAAGAAGTAAAATCCTATTCCTGCAAAACGTGGCTGTAACCATCCAGAGACTAAATAATTCCAATAATTCAGAGCGGTTTGCTAAGAAAGTGCTAGTCTATTTACTCAATAATATTTTTTATTTCCTTTAAATTAAATAAGGCCGAAATGTAAAGCCTACAGAGACTTTCATTAATTTTTAACCAGTTGTGTCACCTTCGAAAAAAACGGGCATCGATCTAAACCAGTGAAAAAGATTAAAATAATGAATTCTTGAGAAGTCTATTTGGATGCACCTTAATATATGTGTGACTTGAAGGGGAAATTAAAATTATAATAAGCCTTTTGGAAGATGGCGTCATTTTACTTCTACGACCATAATCCTTTCGTTTTCCCTGTTCATATATAAATTTGGTAATCCCAGCGAGGATGCAATTACCAAAGCCCTAATTTGCAACAAAGCAAAGCCATGAAGGATTCTGGTCGTAATAGAAGAGTAACGTCATCTTGACGTCATTCTAAATTGTTTAATTATTATAGGCACCTTCCAAGGGAAACAAAATTTTTGGAAAGTTGGCAAATCTGATGCACCACATTATCAAGCCTGGTAGGTGTTTTAGAGAAACTATAAGCGAAGAATACGGAAACAGTCAAAACTCACCACCATCTAGCAGCTACTATTTACTTGTGATACCACAGCGTAGTAGGAGGATGCACCGATCCTCTCCGTGCTAACAATATAATTTTCGTTAGATTTTAGAGTAGGTATAAATTCTCTGCAATATCACAAAAACAGATCACAAGCTACGACTAACAAATCTACTAATACAAAATGAGACCAATAACTAAAAGCCTCCTCCGCTAGTCTGCTTCACAGCCGTTCTTTGTACTCGTCACGCAACGCTCTTCTTGGGGAGGAACGTTGCGTGACGACACAAAGAACGGCTGTACGTGGAGCAGACCATTCCTCCGCAGGATACTGTCACTAAGGCTAGTTTTAACATAGCTTAAAACACACACAGTCGTGCAACACTTGTAGTCATATATTCCAAATCCAAAATTGTTCCCTAACTTCCTTTCATTAAAAGCAAGATTGTTTTACTGGACAATTGATAAGACACGAGCCTCGAGTTACTTGCATGGCTTCAAAAGATATAGCTTAGGTTCGTAGGTTAAACAATTACTTTAGGGTAACAAAAAATTGTTAGCAGTTAGATATTAACAATAATGTCTCTCTGATCCATCATAAGATTACATTAAACCTTCTGTTCAACTGCCAGTGACAGAGCCAATGGGATGGGGACAAGTATTTTGCAACTCTAAATGTGGGTCTGAACCTCGGTTATTAGTTAATAATATTTCCCACCCTAGAACAATCCGTAAACTTTTTGCATCTTGAGAACTTACCTCGATAGCTTCCAAGTAAAAACAACCATACTTTCCAAAATTCACGAACCTCTATTGAGTTTGTGGACAAAATCTTACTGTGTGACCTCTGAAATGTAAGGTACAATTCACCGTCATATTATTTTTACAGAGGATACCTATTCTGTGACAAAGGAAGATGGAATTTATTTAAAGGATCTCATTCCCAAAAAATGCTCCATTAAAAAGGGCAAAGATAATGGTGGCAATGGTAACGGCAATGGTAATGGCAATGGTTGTGGCAATGGCAATGGTAATGGAAATGGAAATGGCAATAGTTATGGCAATGGTAATGGCAATGGTAATAGGAATGGTAATGGCAATGGTAATGGCAATGGAAATGGCAATGGTTATGGCAATGGTAATGGCAATGGTTATGGCAATGGTAATGGCAATGGTTGTGGCAATGGTAATGGTAATGGCAATGGTAATGGCAATGGCAATGGTAATGGTAATGGCAATGGTAATGGTAATGGCAATGGTAATGGCGATGGTGGTAATGGTAATGGCGGCAATGGTAATGGTGGCAATGACAATGGTGGTAAAGACAATGGTGGCAATGACAATGGTTATAAAAAGAAGAAAGGAGGCGCCAAACGTTTGACTTTAAAATGTTACTTCACTTACCGGGGTTCCCTCACTACGCCTCCTTGTACTGAAACAATACGGTGGATAGTTCTGAAAGACTATATCCTCGCTTCTACCAGCCAGGTATGTAATGCTAACTAACTTGGATTAAACCTAGCTTAAGGAAACTTCTACGCTTTACAATTAGGAGTGTACACTCTACAAGTGCTAAGATAATACATCGGTGGTTCAGCCACTCACTGTCAGAGTAGCATTGACCGGCTCTTGGAGGACCTTTTGCCACATATGGCGAATATTTCAGTAGCAAAAGCGACAACAATGTCTACCATGTCAATGTTTTTAACATTGTATTACAAACAAACAATTGGAATAACAGATGATGTATAGTATGTTAATATTTCTTAGACAAGCTTAAAGGAGTTAACACAGGCCTTTTGCACAGATTAGTTGAACACGTGTTCAACTTTCTGTAAACACGAAAACAGTTAGCATCTGAAACACTGGGTTAGCAGGAACTGAAAGAGCATATTAAAATTAGGTAACCTGTATATAATCAGCTGTATATCGCAAAATTAGCGATGGCAACAGCCCCGAAAATTACGAGGATTTGTATGGTAAAAACAGCTTTTGCCACCCAGTCACGATTATTTGGTTTTCCATAAAAACCCTGTAAATTTGGAAATTATAGGGCTCAAATCTCCTTTTTATTCATAACAGGCAATTTGAGCCCTTAAATACATAAGGGAAAGATTTAATGACAGTATTTACAAGGATTTTGCAAAAGGCCTATTCTACAAGATTACGGGCAGGCTCCTCTGTTGCATATGCGACATTGTCAGACCAACACATTCACTGTATTTAAATTGAACCACAAACTGTTAGTTTAAAAAACAAATGATGCGTCGTTAATAAACTAATTAATGAATTTTGTTTGTTTTTTTTGTTCTAGCTCGAAAAGTTCAGGAAACTTGAAGCAAAGTATTATGGTCCGCACATGTGCGACAACTTCAGACCAGTCCAAAAATTGAATGACCGCGATGTCTACTCCGTCACAAAAAAAGATAATGACAAGTGAATAATAAAGGCAATAAATTAAACAAGCAAAGTGCATATCATGTTGAGATAGCAATTAATTGTGCTATTTTATGTTTTTTTTATGAATTTTATGTTTTCGTTAATCTTTGTAAGGTTTTTTGTAAGGCAAAAAATTACTTTATTTTGCACTAATATATCTTGTTTGTTCTCAATAAACTGGTGATGAAATTTATTGCGGAGTCACTGATTTATTTAAATCCTCTCCTCAAAGCAATGATACACAACTAGTTCCTAAAGGTGGATGGCAAGATTTTTCAATTTTTGGAAGCACTTTGATGGATCGAGATAACCTGAATTCCAATTTTGCTTCCACCTACGGCGTTTGATCGGGTAAATACGCTAATTTTCAGTAGCAAATACGGCAGCTGGAATTCTTCTTAACATCGTTTGGGGAACATGATAGTTGAATTTTGAAAATACAAGGGAATACCTCGAAATAATTAGAAATTTTAGATTCTAGGATTGCCGTACATAATTATTGAAAATTTTGGAAAATCGTTTTAAGGCGAAAGACGGGAAGATTAGGAAATCGAATACTTCGAGAGTTCATGCAAAAACCTTCTGACTGTTTCGTTTTCGGTTAGATCTTCTGGAAGCACTGCTTCTATAGACAATTTCCATCGAGTGATCCCTTTCTGGAAAACACCTACTTGATGAGATGGCCTCGAGTATTCCGTATAATTACTTCATCAAGATAAACCGTCAAGTTCGACATGAAATCCCTTGCTGCTGAATCTCGTTTGGATTTTGTTGATTTGATTAAACGAATAAGTTGAACATCCATCCACTGATCTTCTCTGCCGACAAAAGGCCTTTCAGACTGCATTTGACTTCCATATAAGTACATGCTGATACTGCGCATATCCCGGATATCCCTTCATTCTAATCTGTCTTAATTACCCCTGAAGAGATTTTAGTATAATGAACGTATAGTGTAGAAATTAGTTTGGTAATTAATACTAAACGTATGATTAGCTGAAAAGTGTCGTGCAACTTTCACACAAATCATGAGAAAAGTCAGATTGACTCGCTCACAAGCTTTTTCAACCCCATGATAATAATAATTAATAATATAATAATAGTAGGTTTTTATGGAGCATTTAAAGAATTCTCAATGCGCTTACAACAGCGCTTACAATAAATAGGCCTACAATAAATAAAGTGTGAAGGAAACTATATACAGTAATTATTCCTAAAAAGACATGTTTTCAAACGTTGCTTAAAAGTAGAGACAGATTCACAGTTTTTGATATGATCAGGTAGACTGTTTTAGATTTTCGGTGCATAATATGAAAATGAGCGGTGTCGATCCATAAGCCACGATATTAACAGAAGGAACTTGTAAAAGCAATCTATTAGATGAGCGGAGTAAACGAGCCGGCTGGTAATTGAGAAGGAGTGAAGACAAATAGTCAGGGAGCTAAATCGTTTAAAATTTAAAATGTTAAAAGCAGTATTTTAAAGTGGATGCGTGCACCAATAGGAAGCCAATGCAAGTCTTTCATGACAGGAGTTACATGGTCGGATCTTATTCCTGAAACGAAACGTGTCACGGAGTCTGAACACGTTGCAGCTTGTCCATTTCTCGCTTGGGCAAGCCACAGTATAAAGTGTTACAATAATTCGAGCGCGACGTAACAAAAGCATTGACCATCGTCTGAAGGTGATTCTTGCTCAGATACTTCCTCAATCTGCCAATGAATCGAATTGCTAGCATAGCCTTTTTGCAAGATTGAGCGTTCTATCTAGGTTGACACTAAGATTACAAAGTCGGTCTGATGGTTGTACTCTTAGACTAGAGTCGCCAATCAAAGAATCACTGAGAATTGGGTTCTTGACGAAACGAGAACTAAACTGAATAACCTCTGTTTTACTAGGATTAATTGCAGACTAACTTAATGATGTTCCATTCTATAACTTCACTAACACTTCTGAAGGGTGTTTAAGGCAGGACGTTGATCATGAGGGTCAATAGTTATGTAGAGTTGAGAGTCATCTGCGTACAACATACAATCTAGGTTATATGAGCAGAAATTATGTCTTGAATAGGTGCTGTATAAAGAGTAAACAAGAGAGGACCGAGTATCGAACCTAGTGGAACTCAATCAAATCTTCGACTGCTAGATGTTGTGTTACCAATAGTAACAGATTGTATCCGACCAGTAAGATAAGACGAAAACCATCTTAGCACTATGCGGGAAAAACCGAAGTATCTACTCAGCCTATCCAAAAGTATAGTATGGTCTAGGGTGTCAGACGCGGCTAACAAATCAAGCATGACTAATATAAAACAGCATCTTGTCGGCAATCAATAGTCCTAAGAACATCAGTTATTACTCGCAGAAGGGCAGTCTCAGTGGAATAATGTTTTCGGTAGGCGCATAGAAGGCATGTGTCTGAACCGCGACAACCTTCTCACTGACTTTTGCTAGGAAAGGTATATATTGGCTACAAGTCGGTAATTTTTTTAAAACATCCTTGTCAAGATCTGGCCTTTTCCGGTATGGACGAATCAAAGATACTGATAGTATGAGAAAATAGAAGGGATTCCCGTCACGTAACGTCTCCAGCCAGCTGAGTGTACAGCATGCCGGTAATTAAAAACTCTAAAAAGAAAATGGCCAAGGGGCTGAATACTATTCGGGCGAGAGAGGAAGTTCAGGGAGAAGAGATTGTGTCAGGGGCACCCAACGACCGTTTTCGGGGAAATATCTGTTCGAAGCCCTCTAGAATGGCTAAAATTTTCGGGAGCCCAAGAACAGCTAAAAATTTCGAAAATGTTTCGTGGTGACTGTTCGTTGGGCTCAGAGTTTCGGGATTTGTGTGGTTTGTTCACCTAAGAATTTGGGATTTTGTAGTAATCTCTAGATCACCTAGAAATTTCGTAGCTTTCGTAGTAATCTCTACATTCTGATTTCGGCACCTAGAGATTTCGTAGCTTTCGTAAACTAAGAATAGAGCTTAAACCCGGCAGTCTCATTGTCTCATTAGCGAAATTTCACACGACTGATTTAAAACCCAACGACCCTTTTCTGAGAGTACCAGGCTTACCGGTTACGCGTACTCAGGACAGTATCGCAGCAGGACTACCGGAGGGAGGGATCGGTGGGATAAACCAGACAACGCTATTGTAGCACTGTTCTCGGCTGCGCATGTATCACTGATGTATCTGATCTACCGAATTTTAATAAAGTCACATTTCTGACATTTGCAGTTACAGTTAACTGTTTAGAAAATAGGAAACTTTCAGCGTTTCAGTGAACTTTAGCCCGCGAAAACAGACGTTTTTTCACTGTTTTTTTTTTCTGTACTCGCTCATCGCCACCTGGGGGGTGTGTGGGGAGGGGGATGGGGGCGAGGAGCGAGGACAAACTACTGCTGGCAACTTTAATTTTTGGTTGTTCGGTGACCGTAGCGTGCAGGGTGATGAGTGGGTGATACAGACCCGTTATCTGTTGCATACAGGCTTTCTGGGGCTAGATTGGGGATAATATATTCAGCTGGCAGCTGTGCTGTATCTTCTGTATATTGACCAAGACGAAGTCACGGGCCGGTGCACGGTCCTGCTGATTCCCTGAGCTGATTGTCGACAACCAAAAAATCACTCGGATGTCAAAATCCAGCTCACCGGAGTAATCAGCTTGGTGTGTAGCATCTCTTGATCTTTTTGCAAAGACACAAGAAGCACGAGAATTGATTAAAAATCGTGAGTTAATCCTCTATGTCTCACGCGATCGCCTGTCTCACAGTACTAAAATTATCATATCTCGGTGAGCATTCGGAAGTCAGCCAAGCGCGGTCATTTCACGCGTGCTGTACAAGAATGCTGTATCATGACAGACTAGAAACAATAGAAAACTCCCAAAGCACAAATCTTCAATGTTTACTCAAATTTGAGCTTATAAAAGATAAAGTCACAGTTTTTCAATGACCATGAAATTCAGAATCCGGGTAGTTAGTTAATCAATTGTGGCCCTGAAAAATTTGACGGAATAAAACGAGTTTTTAAGAAAATGCTTTTTTCGTGAGAAGCAGTCTTAAACACTGACAAACGTCAACAAATACCTAAAACTATGATTTCTATATGTTTGCTTTGCTCGAAATCGCGCCCATTTACAAGGCCCCAAAGCTTTTTGCTGACCTGCAAGGACCTATCTGAGATTTTCACGAAAAAATGCCGACAACAGAAGAATTCAGACTCAAACCCCAAAGAGGCGTGGCACTATAACCACGTGACATCTACTCCGATCGCCAAACATTTTATGCCATATTGTAGATTGATCTATATGTTATCCATGCTATATGTTAGACTTATGATCAAAGTAAAGGTGAAGATACCAGAGAGCTTCAAAGTAGGTTGGTGCCCTCACAAAATAACGGGGTCGAGTCACCTTAATGCTCCATTTTTAACTTCCTTGTTCTTTATTTTGAAAGGTCCAGAAAATTGGCACGAACTAAATCTGACGGATCCCAATCAGCCTAATCACTTTGGTAAAAATAAACAATCACCAATAGACATCAAAACAAGCGAGGTTGAGGAAGCTATTGTGCCTACCGTCCTTTAAAAGTCACTTTTGACAAAACGAGGGGACTTGTTACTGGAACGTTTTAAAACAACAGGCATTCACCTGAAGTTAAACCTGCTGATTCCTACTGGGGGTCCCCTGGGAGATAACACATTCAAACTGCTCCAGTTTCATGTTCACTTTGGTTGTACTTATGGCCGTGGATCTGAGCACAAGCTTGATGGAACACAACTTTCTGGCCACGTGAGGCTTTTTTCTTTTACACCTGACTTATCGGTATTTCAGTTTTCTCATATCCTGGCCCGCCGGATATCTTTGCTTAGGGAAACGATTCCAATGATCGATTACGTTTTCGATATTCAGTGCTAAGCCATATTACTCGCATTTAAAAAGTATTTCACCGAAGTTGACAGGAGTGATTTCACAGGCAGGTTTACCTTCCCATTGGTGTACGCTGCATATGCATTTGCTTCAAGTTCCGATCTACGTCGTCTTGTGATTTGCTATTAGTTAATGGTGAGGTTATTGATAACCTCTGAGTTCACGCGGGCTCAGTGCTTTCTTAAGTGATCTCTCAGGGTGGGCAACAAAAAGGGAATATGCAGAAGTTGAAAAAGACTAACCAGAAGCTTATGTTGGACCTAAAACATCTTAGTCTTTAGACACCAAACGATCAAGTGCCTTTACTGATCTTCACTAGGTCGCTACTTGAACCAACTCATCGGGAATGACCCTAAACTTCTCCTCTTTTTCCCAGCTTCACATGGTATTTGGTCATGGTGAATTATATTACGAGCTGTTGTAGCCCTTTGGATTAAGGTACATCTTGCAGTCTTACATCCTTTCGGCAAATTGTCTTCCATAAAAACATTACAGTTTAAATATGCAGATCACTCTCCCCCTTCCCCCCACCCCTTCGTGACGAAGTAAAATCCTAGGCGCTTTCCATTAAACCAAAACGTCTGGTTTGAGTTTTCAGCTACTTTCAGTTGCGAATTGAACAGCATTTTCCAAAATGTCCGAAGAAGAGGACAAGCTCGCGAGGTGTACCCGAGTTTTCGAATTTTTTTTTTCCCGGAGGTTTTATTCAACTTTTCTCCTGGAATTTCTAGAATTTTCGGTTGAATGGTTTGCATTCCGGAAATTCAACAGCCCTCGGAATTTCTGAACTTTTCCGGCAAACCATTTGTACCATTTGCCGCTCTTTCAAATTTTCGAGAGAGGCAAAAAAGTCTAATAACTCATAGCAGTTTGTTATAAGAAAGTGCTTACCTATTTACTTGAGAATATTTTTTTATTTCCTTTAAAGGCCGAAATGTAACGCCTACAGAGACTCTCACTTATTTTTAACCAGCTGTGCCACCTTCTAAAAAAAGGCTTCTAAACCAGTAAAAGTAAATAAATAAATAAAATGAAATGAAATAATGAATTGTTGAGAAGTCTACTTGGCTGCACGTAAATATGATTGCCTGTGACTTGAAATGGAAATTAAAATTAAAATAGGCCTTTTGGAAGATGGCGTCATTTTACTACTACGACCATAATCCTTTCGTTTTACCTGTTCATATATAAATTTGGTAATCCCAGCAAGGTTCCAATTAAATAATATAGAATAATATAGTCTAAATTATTTAATTATTATGGGCACATTCCAAGGGAAACATCATTTTTGGAAATTTGGCAAATCTGATGCAACACATTATCAACCATGGCAGGTGTTTTATAGAAACTAAAAGCGAAGAACACGGGAAAAGCTAAAAGCAGCTACTATTTTATCGTAATAACATAGCTTAGTAGGAGGATGCACCGACCCTCTTCCTGCTAACAATATAATTCTCGTTAGATTTAAGAGGAGGTATAAATTCTAAGCAATATCACAAAATCAGATCACAAGCTACCACTAACAAAGCTACTAATAAAAAATGAGACCAATAACTAAAAGCCTCCTCCGCTGGTCTACTTCATAGCCGTTCTTTGTCCTCGGCACGCAACCACTCCTGCGCAGGATACTATAAAAGGCATAGTTGGCAACGTTTAACATAGCTTAGAACGCACAGTCGTGCAACACAACTTGTGGCCATATATCCCACGAGAGTCTCCCAATTTTTAAAAAACAAGATTATTTTACTTGACGTAGCCACTTGCCTCAACACTTGATCGGTGAGACACGAGCTGCGCGTTACGTGCATGGCTTCAAAGCTTAGGTTCGTAGGTTAAGCAACTACTTTAGGGTATAAGAAAATTGTCAGCGATTACCTATTAACAAAAGTCTCTCTCTGATCCACCATTACATTAACCTTCTGTTCAACTGCCAGTTAAAGTGCCAATGAGATGGGGACAATTATTGAACCTCAGTTATTAGCTATATTTCCAACCCTAGAACAATCCGTAAAGCCTAAACGTTTTGCACCTTGAGAACTCAATTGACAGCCTCCAGGTAAAAACAACCATACTTACCAAAATTCACGAACCTCTTTTGAATTTGTCGACAAAATATTCCTTTGTGACCTCTGAAATTTGAGGTACAATTCACCGTCATATTATTTTTACAGAAGATAACAACACCTATCCTGTGACAAAAGATAACGGAATTTACGTAATGGATTTCATTCCCAAAAAACGCTCCATTGATCAGCGCAAAGATAATGGTAATGATAGCAACATGACTAATGGTAACGATAAAAATGGCAAAGTAACTGATGGCAACGGTGAAAGTGAAAATAATGGTGACAATGCTAATGGCAATGGTATTGGTGGTAAAGGCAATGGTGGCAGTGGCAAAAACAATAATAACAATGATAATAATAAAAAGAAGAAGAAGAAAGGAGAAGAAAGTTTGAGTTTAGAATGTTACTTCACTTACGAGGGTTCCCTCACTACGCCTCCTTGTACGCAAACAATACGGTGGATAGTTGTGACTATCCTCGCTTCTACCAGCCAGGTATGTAATATTCACTAACTTGAATTAAACTTAGCTTGAGGAAACTTCTATGTTTTACAATTAGGAGTGTACACTCGACAAGTAATTTTAATAAGATAGCAAACCGGTGGTTCAGCTACTCACTGTCAGAGTAGCATTGACCGGTCCTTGATTCATTTGGCATTTTTTAAAGGAATATTAAATGGCAAACTTTCGCTAGAAGTGGGGTGGAGTTGGGAAGAGGTTCGTCTCACTGAGTGGTAAAAATTAAACGAAGACACTGCCGATGGATAACTCGTGTTTACCTTTAACAAACTACAGGAGCTATTGCTCCATGTGGGAAATATTTCAGTTGCAAAGGCGACGAATACATCTACCAACATAACAGTTAGTTAAACTACATGTCCCCAGTTATGTCCAGATAGCGTCACGCAGTGCATTACGCTATTTTCGTTTTTCTTTTCAAAGAATTTCACGTTTTCGTCAACCTTTAAAAGGAGAAAACGTGAAATATTCTGATACCTACCGAATTTTTTTTCACTACTTTCGAATCAAACCGAAAGTTGAAGGGTTCCTTGGTTACGCCTAAACAATGACCGAATTTGGAAAGTAAAATCCTAGGATGAATGGAACGATCCTTTTGCAGAAGAAAGCCACTCTATGGGTACCTTCCCAGTGAATTGCTACTTCAAGCGACGACAATATCGCACTTTACCGCGATCAAATTTTACTTTACTGATTTTGCACTAATGTATCTTGTTTGTTGTCAATAAACTGGTGATGGGATGGATAGCAGAGTCACTGATTTATTTAAATGCTTTCCACAAAGCAATGACACACAACTAGCTGGAGGTTCCTTAAGGTGGATGGCAACAATTTTCAATTTTTGGAAGCACTTTGATGGATTGATATAAACCGAATTCCAAGGTTACTTCCAAATGCGGCGTTTGATCAGGTAAATACGATATTTTCAGTATTTTTTTTCAACGAAATTTCACTGTGATGAATCGATAACACTAAAATTAAACGCTAATAACAAATTCTAATAACAACAATAACAATAACAATGCTGAGAAAAAAAAATGTGCCTTCCTTCTATGAACGTCGAGCAAATTGTTATTGTTCATATTTCTAAAGGAAATTACTACAGTTGGAAATTAAATTTATGTACCCTCGTTTTCGCAAAAAGAAATACGCTTCTCCACAAAAACCTTTTTAAATGACTTCCCTTTCTAATAAAAGCTATAGTCAGGTCTTAGGCCCAAAATAAATTTGTTGGAGGGGGCTCAGAACCATGTTGCCTGCAGGACCCTATCAGCGTCTGATTCATAACTTCCGACATGTTTTACTGCAGCATTGAAAACTACCCTAAAATAATGAACTTGGAATATCTTCCCTTCGAGCTCCCCAGATAATTATCATGTTTTCCAAGAAAAAGGCCTTTGTTCCTAGAAAAGCTCAACAGTTCTTCAGTTCCCTAAAAGCCGTTATTTCAAGGTTCTCCATTTCTCCAGAACCTTGCTCCTCCAAGGGAACATTGCAGTTGAATTTCGAAAGTAGAAGGGAATACCTCGAAATAGTTAGAAATTTGAGAATCTAGGGTTGCCGTACATAATTACTGAAAATTTTGGAATATCGTTTTAGGCCGAGAGAAAAGAAGATAAGGAAAACGAATATTCCCAGAGTTCATGCAAAAACCTTTTGACTGTTTCTTTCTTGGTTAGATCTTCTGGAAGTGCTGCTTCTATAGACAATTCCCATCGAGTAATCTCTTTCTGGAAATCATCTACTTGAGAAGATGGTCTCGAGTATTCCGTTACTTCATCAAGATAAACCGTCAAGTTCGACATAAAACCCCTTGCTGCTGGATCTCGTTTGAATTTTGTTGATTTGATGAAACGAATTAGTCGAACATCCTTCCATTGATCTTCTTTGACGACAAAAGGCCGTCCAGAATGTATTTGACTTCTCCATCTAAGTACATCCTGATACTGCGCATACTTTGTATCCCGGGTGTCTTGCGGCGACATTTCGTAACGCGAGTGCAAAAGAAAGCGTATATCCGTCTCCAAACCATCTAGGATGATGTCATCATTTGCACGAGTGTTATACTGGGTCACGTGACCTTCTGGGTACATTATGCCAGCAACTGCTTGGGCATCATCCCTGAGGTCAAGATTTGGGCGTGCTTTCCAGGTTCGTTTTAAATCAACCATACACCAGCGAAGATTTGGAAACTTGATGTCGATAAAACCAAGATTGCTGTCAAGTCGAACATAAAATTCAGTATCTTCACTACTTGGACAAATGTCCACTGTGTATTTCTCTATCATTTTGTTGTCGGGAAAAAAATTACTTTCGCGAAGAAACTTCTTTACCCTGTCTGGGAAATGAACAGAAGTGTAAAACGCACTTCTCGAAGGATTTCCGCGCTTACGCTTTTTTCTATTGCTTTCACACGCAACAGTGCGTTTTGCTCGTCGTTTCCTTCTACGGGCGCGTTCCTGCAGTTCGTCGACGAAGGACACTTCTCTAGGAAGCGCATGTCGCCCTCTGGATGGCTTAATAGTCTTCCTTTTGTTCGTCCTGAGCATGGCAATGGAGATGAGCTCACCGTCTTCCAGCACTACATGTGGTACACTAAACATGTAAACTCGCCCAAAGTGAACAGCAAACTCCAGATGACCATGAATCTTGGGATCAAAATCTCTTTCAACTACCTGAAATAAAACATGGAAAACCAAAATCACGGACATCGCATTCCGTGCGTCTTACATTCGGGCCGTTTGATAATGCTCTTAACCACTGATTTTTAGTTTGCGTGACGGGCACATCGAGTGGTAGAATACGTAGTTTTTGTACCAAATAAAAGCCGCTGATTGAAAGTATTTACCAAGTATCAAGTAAAATCGATGGATTAAGAGAGCGAGGTCACAGCTAAAATCAGCCTCAAAAAGTACAGTAACGAACGTGAAAGATTCATACAGTTTGATTACGGACACTTTCTACTGGTGGATGCAATGGCGGCAAATTTTATAGGTAGGCGAGAACTTTTTCTGTTCTCAAATATAATTTTCGCTCCAAACATTTCTTTGTAAACCAAATCGCCATGTTTGTCCCCAAAATATGAGGAAAGCGCCGTCGTTACGCGGGCGCCGCGTCCGCGATTTCAGGCCATGTGGCTGAATAATAATTCTCATTTGCCATAAATTAAAAGTATTTTCAAGGGCAAGGGTGGCGCAGTAGTGAGAGCACTCTTCTCCCACTAATGTGACCCGGGTTCGAATCCTGGCATATGTGGGTTGAGTTTGTGGTTGGTTCGCTCTCTTGCTCTGAGAGATTTTTCTCGGGGTACTCCGGTTTTTCCCTCCCCTCAATAACCAACACTTCCAAATTCCAATTCGATCTAGAACGCACGGACACGTTTCAACGAGTTCTTAAGAACTCTTAAATGTTCCGAGGGTAAAAAAAAAAAAATACTATTTACAATCCAGTAGATATCGGTGGTTTATGATTGTAAGCTGCAATTATTTGTATATTTGTTTGTGTACTATTTACTTGAATTTGCCAGTTCTGGGCAAGCGGGGTTCAACGCAAGAACGACAGGCGCCAATTACTGCGGGCCCGTAACTGTCCCTCCCCTCATGAAAGATAGATCACCACAACTACTACGCCCCCTACTCTTTACGAACAGTGTGTGGGTTCTTTAACGTCCCACAAAATTTGTATGTGCAAGGGTTGTGAGACGGGGCTTACGGTTTATCGTCCTTATCCGAGAAGACTAGAAAGTCTAACCGTTTGCATATGTATTTACAAAGACAGCCTTTTATCCTCAGTTATTTAAAGAGTTTTTTGAGTGCTGGGCCGGCCGGGGCTTGACCCAGCGGCCTTCTGCTCGGCAGACCGACGCTGATCCAATTGAGCTAAGAGGGTGGCGGTTTCAGCACGTGTTATGTTTCCTATAAACAGATCCTCAGTCAATTTTTCATCGATGTGTAAGATAATATAACGAGAACTAAACAGGGCTCTGTGGAAACATGGAAGAGTAACAGGTTGACATACCTTAAGTTGCTGAAAGAATTTCTCTGTGAATCGTCGAAGCGCATACTCGTTGAAAGTAGGATTGGTTACCAAGGCTACATGACGTGCGAGGTTATCATGCGTCTGATGACATGGCCCATCATATGGTGTCAGTGAGACGTGATCATTTTCGTGTCGACTCCCTTCATACAAGACAACACTAGCGTTTTCCACGAAACAGCCGCTCATCAGTGATACACGGTTACGTGATGCCTGTTTTTCCATTCTGTCAAGTTCTTCTTCCACTGCGCGAATCGTAGGTTCACTTCCCTTCACCTCCAAGATAGCTGAATTGCGTGATCGCGGGAGCTTGGGACGAATAACGACACTCCTTGCCCCAGTCTTCCTCGTAATTTCTAGAGCCTTACTTTTCTCGACACCGGCGAAGAAGGAAGAAAGGAGAGGTGATAGGTAAATCACGTTGTAATCTTCAGAACCACTTATGGCCAACATTATTTGCACATCACCATACAGTGCTAACATCTGAGAAGCACGGCGCATATGTTCCTTCACCAAGTTCAGGTGATCCTTGTCCAGCAAATCTGCAAATTTATGTGCGCGCAAGATACGCGCCAAAGGATCTGGAACCTCTTCTTCAAAAAACGACTTGTGCGCTTTGAAAAACCTCATGAGCATTTCACCAAGTTTGGGGGTGGGCAGGTGTGTGCTATTTGCGTTTCCGGCAGCATCGTCACCAAGAAGGCGAATTACTTTTTCCCATTCCACGTACATGTCACTTTCTGTCATCGCTCCTCGTACAAGTTTACGTACCTCTGAGGTAACGTGATCTTCATTGAAATTTTGAATTTGTCCCTTGCGCATGCACTGAACTAGAAGTACGGAACCCATTACATTTGAGGTGTTCCCAGCACCAGCTTTGTTTCGTGACAGACCTGTCACATAACACCATCGGTGAATGACACGGAGAACCAGCAAGAGATGAGGAAAGGACTTTATGTAGCTTGACAAAAGAACTCCAATTGGCAAACACCTTGGAGAAGCAATCAAATCGCAAACAAGATTGGGGGAGCATTTGGTTTCATTTAACAACCTCCCAGTGGGATGCTTGCAAACAAGGACCTAAAAAAAACAAAAATAAAAAGTAAGTCGGTATCTAGGATTTTGCGGTATTTATTCAATTAACTCTAGTAAGATTACCGATTTAAATATATTTTGTTCTTCTTAAGGGCGTTACCAAGAGACATGAGGCCCCGTTGTTAATAACCTTAATAGCCAAAATGGGACAATTAAGGGAAGCTAAATCCGGTATCTGCTTGTTAGTGATTTATCCATTCGGTAGCATTATCCAGCTTCTAATTCTTAACATCTGATTCCAGAAAGGCTGAGGTAAGGTTATTCAGAATTTATCTCATTGTGACTGTGGTGACTGTGTCTGTGACCAGCTAGGCTGGGTGTTTAGATTGCTTGCTTACGGAATGTTTGATTTTAATATTAGAAATAGCATCCTTACCGGAAACGTCTTTTTGCCGACAACGCCAACTTTATGGAATAGATTTTTTGGATCCCCCTCTTCGCCTTTTTGCACCTGAGTCTCTTTTAGGTGTGGTATCAGCCTCTCAATTGATTTCACTTGATCTTTAACAGGGATGTCATTCACTTTAGAGGGATCTGCAAGCTTTTCATCTGAGTCAATTGGATCAAACGACCGTTGCGACATGCTACACTCTTCCAGTAGGCTTGAGAGGAATGGTGGAGTGTGATACATTTCCTGTGAAGTAACGGGGACATCATGCAATTTCTGAGTACCCTGTGGTAAGACGCAGATATCCAGGTCTGAATTCTCGTGAAATAGAAGAGAGGCTGAAGAACCAGTCACAATCATCGAATGCTGTGGTAGAACGCCTTTTAGATGCCGCGCAATTGAGTTTTTGGTTCTTACTCTTTCTAAAAACTGTTCAAGCAGCCAGGTCTTTTCTTCATTAAACAGTCTAGCTAAACTCTCACCTACGGTTGTATCAACGTTCAGGGTCTGGGAGACGTGATGCGGTTGTTTGCGGTTTTTGATAGCAAGCATGATATCATTAACAAACCATGGAAAACCGAGCAAACGCTTCTGGGGACCTAGTTCTGACTCATTTGCCTGGTCATGAGCATGCGTGTAGGCCACATTATACCAGGCTGAAGCTTTGAGAAGCATCTCATACGTAATATCCTCATCGTCCAACAAATGCTGACCATTCACATTGAAGTCGTGGAAGAACTGGTTTCGGAATTCAGACCGCATCTCGAAGAGGATGCAGCTAACAATTTCTGCAATCTCTGTTTTCTCTTTACTCAAGCGATTTCGAAGCTTCAGAAAGCAGCCAGTGAAAACTTCGGCCTCGGATTCAATGCCGTACAAACTCATCAGAGCCTGCATTTTGTCTCGGTACTGCTGGTAAGACTCTCTGGCTTCTTCGATATACCTGTCGTAACCTTGCAGGAGTAAAAACTTGTCTATTCGCATTTTCTGATTAAACTTCTCAGACGCTGCGTCTTGAAACTTTCGACAGCGACGGTAGAGCTTTCCTAAAACCTTGTCTGATTGGTAACTAGGTTTATCACGCTTCATCATAAAATCAGGGAATGCCTTAATCTTCCCTATGCCCTGCATTTTGGGCCACTTGCCTGTTTTAGGCGCATCCACTGCTAAAGAATGTATCTCTGCTAAATGTAGACAAACTTCAGATTCAACACCATCATTTTCCCGGTCTGCTAACGCTTTATGGGCGTTGTCAATCACTCCTAACTGATCACACCGAATGTAGTCGACCACAAACTTAGTCATGTCGGTGGCTGTGATTGGTTGCGTTTGTTCCTGCTTTTCCGGGGCTTGGTAATCCATCGGCGGGAAATTTGGTTTCCTTGGTAACAAGTCTTTGTTCCAACACACGAAGTAGAGATCCCCATCCAAATCACCACCTAAAATTGGAATGAGCACTCTTTTTAACTATTACCTTGCGATCAAGACATTTATCCTCTATTTTCTTTGATTGCATTGTACTTCAAAAAACAAATAGTACCCTCAATCAAGCGACATTTGCTCCCAATCATCTGTCTGTATTGGAATGATAATTATTGCCGATAAAAGACAGAAATACAACGATAAAACTACATTGTAAACCGCACTCAGTCCAAGTTCGATCAAAGCTGGTACTCGAAGATTGCGTACGCGACGTGTACAGATTAAATCTATGATAGCACGCCTTGGCTTCTTATAGGTCAAGAATGTCTTGAGTAGGTTCGGACTGGCTCTTACACATGCACGAAAATGACTTTTTTCAGGTTTATGCTGTAAGTATTCATTTAGTAGTCGCACTTATTTACTCAACACGCAAAATAGGGCAAGAATGAACCGGGGCACAAATAAATAAATAAATAAATAAATAAATAAATAAATAAATAAATAACGATTTGCAGGTAGCACATCCACATAGTGGTTCTTCGTTACCTGATTCCTGGTCGAATTGGAATTTGGAAATGTTGGTTTTTAAAGGAGAGGGGAAAACCGGAATACCCGGAGAAAAACCTCTCGGAGCAAGGGGGAGAACCAACAACAAACTGACAATAGATGGGTGGGGCAGTAAAGGGTCCGTAATTACTAACAACAAACATTTTTGAGGGGAGGCTTCAAACACACTGTCACAGTGTAAAGAAATATTCAAGGGAAGAGTACGAAAGAAGGAAGAACTTCCGTTGCTTTAAGAAAGCTACCCCATTCCCAAACCCTTGCAACCACTTTTGAGTCAAAAACCCTACCTGCCATTTCATTACAGTGAGGTCTCGATCCACGTCGAGGGAAAACCACACAGTCCACTAGATGCTTAAGTTTGGGGTTGTCAACAGCTTCAAGTTGGCGAACGTCTCCTGGGTGTAAGCATGGATTTCTGGTCACTACTAAAGGTCCCCTAACAACACGTTTCTTGCTCGTGTTGAACTGGTCCTCGCAATCTACACGAGTGGAAACTTCAGAATACTGCACATAGACCTAATGTAATAAATATACGTCGAATAACGTGTGAGTTCTGTTGGTACATGAAGCTCATTATTAAAGAAGACGACGAGTTAAGTTAATAGCTGAGTCTGTGTTGACTTGTTTTTGTTTGGATCAAAAGATGATAGACCAATCAAGGATGTTGCGGTGTAGCAAATAACGTGCTGTCTTTTAACCTGAATCTCAAAACTATACACCTAATTACGTTTAATAGGACAGTCAAGAAACAAACCAATTAATAGAGAATTTAAAGGGAAGACCAGTTTGCAGAATGCTAATACTTACCTAGGGAAGACTGGTTTTCTGCACTTCATAAACTGAATGCGTTATGGCAGTTTAATAGAGTGTATAATAGAGTGCGACAGCTAGATGCGAGCTTGCATTACACATGCATGTTTGACCGTACACTAGACTGAATCAGGAAAAACGCAATAAATTCTCGCACTTACTAGAAATATCTAAACAAAAGTTGCAAAGAAAGCAACAAACCTGTCCTGGTTGTAGTACACCAAGTTCGTCCATTACACCCATCATCAATCGTGCCTCCTCTGGTGGCAGAAGGATTCGGGATCGGGAGAGTAACTCGTGGATGTGATTTCTATACATAGCAACAAGCAGGGATTTAAAGAACGGCTCCGTTGTCAGCGGTATTCCCGTGCTTGATAAACTTTTATAGGACACGCCCATTTTGGCTCCAGTACCCAGCAGCTCGATAGCATCGTTCTCATTAACAAGCATTCCTGATAAGAAAATCACGATAAAAAGGACTTCTTTTCAGTCAGTAGAGAGATTAGAGAGTTTAAGCTTCAGGGCCCGGTTCCTCGAAAGATGGTTAAGTTTAACCCAGGATTAAACCAAGTTTTAAGCAAGTTTTCTTGTCTAAGAACATATAACTAGAGCTTACAAAATACTGTTGTCTCTTTACCTCGACAAAAAGAAATGATAACACAAAGTGTTACTCTAAGAAATGCATAGGAAGGTAAATACAGAAAGTGGAACAAAATTTTAATCCTGGATTAGCGCTAATCATCCTTTCAGCAACCAGGCCCAGGTACACTGCGAACGGCAATCGCCAGATTCAAGTTGAGAATTTCTCAAAGTGGAAAACGAGCGGACTAAACTGTGACAGCCCCAAAAACTCTTACGGATAAGAAATTGCGTGAAACTACTCATTTATGTGTAGAAGTAATGAACAGTAAAGGGGAAACTTGGTCACTTGGTACAAATTCGCGTTTGCCGTTTGACGAAAACGTGATGCTTAACCACTCTATTTTAAAAGAGTAACGTTTACAGCAAAGGGCAAAAGCTAATTTGTCCCACGTACTGCCGAATTTTTCTCTTTTCCTGTTCTTTGCTGTTAATTACTTCTACAAAAAAAAGTAGTTGTCGCCAGTTTTATCCATAAAAGTTGTTGTGAGCTGTTTATGTCTGCTTATTTCCCATTTTGAGAAATTTTCAACTTTAATCTGACGTTTGCCGTTTGCGGAAAACGTTACTTTCATTTCACCATTCTAAAATAATTATAATTTTGTCATAATCTCCATCGGCCAAACGCACTTAAAGATTACGCTTATTGAATATAATTATTCATCTTTGTCTTTGGAAGCAACTTACCTGCCAGTTTCTCCAACATTTTGCTCTGCAGTCGAATAAAAACATCATCTGGCACACCCTGGTTGGAAAGTAGCATAATCACCTGGTGGTTGAGATAAACAACCTGGGGTCGAGACGTCTGCAATACTTCAAGTCTGCAATGGAAACTCTCAAATTTGCACATGCTTGGACGGAAGATGGCCTGTTTGCCTGGGAGTCTCGGATCTACTGCAAGGACACCTTTAAAGCCAGAAAATCGAATTTGAAAGGCAGATGGTTTGAACGGCTTGGCAATTTTCTTGACAACCTACAATAAACAAAAACAAAGATAAATATTTGACGAAAGTCACGATGGCTTTTCCTTGAAGTTCTCTTTTTTTATTTATGTGCGAGTGGCCAGAATTTCTGGGAACTTTAAGGTTTTCTAGACGACTCACGTATAGTCCAGCTATCGGTTAAACAGCAGTTTAAAAAAGAAAACCTAAGGAGGTAAGCCCTAAGAACAAACCGTGCGGAGAGACGTGGCTTCTAACAAAACTTTAAAATAAAAAATGACAGCCTCAAACAGCGGCTTGACCGTTTCCAGGTAAACAAGGGCCACCCCTTCTACTACGCACCAGGCGGAAGGAGCAGATATGTCGCTCATGGTACGACAGACGATGAGAAGCAAGGTGGACCTTCTAAGGAGTGTATGGAGTAATGTCTACTTATAGTCTTACCTCTGCGGCAAGTTCTTTTGATATTCTGCCAATTCCATCAGAAAAACAGTATTTCTGGTCAACTGTCTTAACGTCGTCCTCTTTCTCGCTTAGGGCACCTTCGCTGATACCAATGCCCACGGAGTCTATAGAGGTAGAAAAACACTGTCCCATGCGAGCCACGTATGAAGCTACACACCTTGAATTGAGAAAAATACGCCCAGAAAGGTTATTTAGCTGTCTTGCTCTGTATACGAGACAAGGACGCATCGCTTTTTGTTATGCTTTGTTTTTTTCGAATAGAGCCTGAGACAAAGTGGCGGCTCAACGGTGTTTGTCTTTCTTTGCTTAAGTTTAGTATTAACTAATTTCTCACTGATTCTTAGGCAATTAAAGCCACCGTTTTTATCGTTTTCAAGAGTTACGGCTTAGTTTTCATAATTGCCTCCGATGCCCTTTTATCTCTTCAGCATTTTCAGTACAACTTAACTGTAAATCCTGGACTTACCTGATATGACGGAAGTCTCCCATCCAACTCCGTATGATGTCTGGTTCATACTTTGGCCCAACAAACCAGCAGCTATGGTTACGGAGTTGACTGTTTGATGACCCCAAAAACTGGAACCGTTCACCAGCTATGTCCAGTCCTTCATCCAGGATACGGTTAATGCCGTCCAGCAGTGGATCCAGGCTTCCTCGTCCTGCAGACAGTTTGGAAAGGTCCTCATCACGAACACTGACACACAAGAAACTCTCTGTTTCGTACTGTCTGAGTACGCGATTTTTTACCATGACTTCCGGTGGGTACAGTAGTAGTCTTGTTGGGGTGATGACTGCACGTTTTATCAGAGCACAGTGGCCTGGGATGAGCCTCTTTTGAAACCCGGAAGCTGAAGGGTCGTTTTGGCCTAGAAATGCCTTGAAGGCCTTTTCGGGATCACAGAACGAATCTTGTTCCAGAGTTTTCTTCAACTGCTCAAGTGCTGCGCACACTACACTGCTTGGCTTGTTTAGCAAAAGTTCGCTGAAAGTCGAAGACATCTTTCCACGCATTACTGGATGCCACGAAAGAACAGTCTGTGACGCATACTTCACATCAAATGGCAAATTAGGGGGAATATTAGTAACTGGAAACCTGCCAAAGCTTTTCTTCACGCGACAATAAAATGCATTTTTGTTGAACCGATTCTGGATTCTGGACAACAAGTGAATGATCTGGGAAGATTCCTTCCTAGAAAATACAAAACAGTACGTATAGCAATAGGCCCAAGCTTTTTCGCTGTTTAAGATATCAGGCACCCTCTCCCAGGCAATCTGGTCAAAATTGTATTCGTGACGCAAGGGACGCTCGCGAAAATTCATGATTGGATCTGGGTACTCTTCATCAGTCGAGAAACTGTCTGATTTCGATTCTCCCCCGTCATCCGACAATTCGCTCAATGTATCATCAACATCAACTTGGAGAAAGTCGTCATCGTCATTTTCTAGTGGGCCCTGCTCGTTGTCACCGTCAACTTCCAGGAAAAGGTCATCAACAGATTGAAACAATCGAGGTGGGTGCTTTATGGTAACAAACAAATTGATTACGTCAGAGGCCACGTCACTGCTGACGATTACACAATCTTCAAGTTCTTCATATCGGATTTCCAGCTTATAAGTCTTAAATCCTATCGTCAATAACTTGAGGCTGTGATCAAAGTAAATCAGAACATTCTGCAGGGTGGGTTCCGAGGGCCACTGATATCGAAAATGGCACCGAGTGAGGAACGTCCCGAGAAACATAGAATTTGCCTTCAGCGAATGAAAAGTGTCTTCAGCTTTGTGACGTTTCTTGGGGAACGACGCCTTGAGCCAAATCGGAAGTGGTTCTTCTTCAAGATTCGCCAGGTGAGAGCACCACTGTTCCGTCAGGTAATTCAGGAACTCGTCCTTCGATCTGAATTCTTTACGGATTTTGTCTTCCTTTGGCTGCAGCTCAAAGCTCAAATTTTTCCGCCCGTTTCCGTCACTGCTTGTTGAAGAAGCTGTGATTGTCTTCATATGAATGACTTCAAACCTTTGTTCCAAAAATTCTATAACGCGTTGATGATGCTCCACAGTTCCAAGATGATGCACGGAAATATTTATTCTCGGCTTATACTTTTCGGTGTCAACAATTTCTTTACTTGTGGGGAAGAAGGAAAGAAGACTTTTCATTTCACATCCATATTCTTCTGCCTGTAGCGTTTGTCTCGTACATAACATTAGACGTCTTATTGCTTCGTCCATGTTTTGTTCTTTAAGAGCCACAACATCAGCTTCTTGTTTTTCCGTCTTTTTACAAATCACTACAAACTTACTGTCAGGGCGACGAGATGCACGCCCTCTCGTTTGAACACGTGCGCGCAGTGTAGCTTCCCCTTCAAAGCGGATGACCAGATTACATTCAGGTACATCAAGGCCTTCCTCCAGAACGCTGGTGCTGATAAGAAGTTTTGTCTGGCCTGTTTTAAAGCATTCTAACAGCACTTCTTGTTCATCTGTCCAATCCATTCCGTCGTAACTTCCCTGACCGTGCCCTACAAAAACTTTTGGATTCAACGTTTCCGGCACCCCGGAAAGCGTCCTGATCTGCTCGCAAAGCTTATAAGCGGTTTTGCGCATCGTCACAAAGACGATTCCTCTGGAAGATTCATCCATTTGCGCGCAGCACAAAAACTCATTTATTAGCGCTTCAAGGATACGATATCGGTCCGATACGGCGACCTCTTCTTCAACCGAACTGTCTGCTAAGTCTTGGAGATCACTAAATGTAGTGTTCGCTCCAACCATGTCCAACAGGGCACTGTCCTTTGGTGAAATAGCATAAGTGATGTTATTTATGCATTCTCTGAGGCAGTGCATTGCATGATGGTAGCTAAGAATTTCACAGGCATCTACAATACAGAGCATCTGCATGATGTGCTCTCCAGCTATCAGCGTTTTTATGAACCTTTTGTCACCATGGCAACTGTCAATCAGTCGTCTCAGTGCTCCTCTAAAATTAGATGAAAACAAAGGAAGTCCATTAAGTTCTGACCGTTGCCATACGCTTGCGCCGTCGATGTAAGCTGTCTTCAAGTTAAGAACGTGCTCTTCAATGCATGCCTTGAGGCGATCCTGGTGGGGGTTCGTGTCGGGTACTATGCAGTACGATGTATTCGGATTGTTAACATTTACTGCTAGGGTCTTTGATTCAGTGGGCGTTGAAACTTCACAGCTCAGGTTGTTTAACAATGTTTTAAGTCGTTCCATGGTACTTTCAACTGTTACTTCTCCAGCTGGTGAGGCAGTCAAACCCAGCACAATGGGTTTATAATTGCTTGATATGTCGCGATAGTATCCCATTATTTGTTTGTACGGATGATTTCCATGGCAATGATGAGCTTCATCGAAAACTAGCACCGAAATATTGGAGAAACAAATGATCGAGCTGTTCTCATCAGCTAGAAAATCTAGAAAAAACTGATGTGTCAGGACTAAAACATCAACTTCCTGATTTGCTACCGCGTGATGGACGGCTTTCTTCTGTGGTGGTTCCATTTCACCTACCATCGTCTTCACTCTTAATTCAGGCACCTGAGACTTGATATATTCGCTCTGCTGGTAAACCAGTGGGACTCGGTCAGCGAGGAACACCATTAGCTTGTTTGGGTTGAGTTTCTTCATACAGCTCAGTAACATCGCTGCCACCAAGGTCTTTCCCGAACCCGTTGGTAAGCAGACGAGGGTGTTTCTGCGCACCGCGGACAGAAAAAGTTCCCGTTGATAGTCTCGCGGGGACTGTCGTGTTAAAAAATCGATTTCTTGCGACGTATGTGTAAGCCCCATTGTGTCGCAGTAAATCATTGGCTCGCTTAATCGGAGATGGGACTGACATATTGCCGGAGACACTTTTACAACTTCAATGCAACACTCCTTTTTAAGTCTTGGACATATCTT